ATATATATATATATATATACACACCTTGCTACATGTACTGCATTAGGCTAACTGAGACTTGTCATTTGCACTTATATATTGTTGCTCTTTTGTTACTTTTGACTGCTTTTATTGGCCTCATTTGTAAGTCGCTTTGGATAAAAGCGTCTGCTAAATGACTAAATGTAAATGTATGTAAATGTAATAACACATTAAAATCAAAAGTTGCTACTGTGTTATTTAATGAACTAGAGCTAACATGAACTAACAGTTGTATTTTTTAACAAAGATTAATAACTTCAAATGTAGCTATTGCTCATTGTTAATGTTAGTGCATTAACTAAGGTTAACTAATGAGATCTTATTGTAAAGTGTTACCTATTGATCTTTATAATTATTTTGCACTTTAATCTGTGTGAAATTATTTACTGTATAGCCTACATTTTTTTGTGTATTGACATTTTCTGACAAATTGTGCTCTTTGACCCTTTGAAGTGGCCAGTTTTGAGCACTTCGGTTTGGAACAACCCTTCAATATGGCGGCCATGATAGTTTTTACTCCGAAGTGCCCTTCTGAGGGTGATATATCCTGTTTGGAACACACCGCCTGTCAAGTCTGAGTTTGACGCGAAGCTCTTTCCATCCCGGAAACGCCACACCGATATTGATCTTTCCTTTATTTCTTAATTTGTCACAAAGCCTCTTTGGTCTACGTTTACATTTTTTTGGATTTTCTGTACTCACCAATGAATAATCGTGATCCATGATAACTGAAATACACAACAGCAGTGCGCTACATGCTGTATAACCACCACTTCCACATTTTCCACGTGTGTTGCCACTGATAGGCGGCAATGACCAGGGACAAGCCATTATTTAAAATGTGAATTTCTTTGGATTTACAAATCCTTGGGAACTTTTGCGATAATGTAAGTACACAACAAGTGTTCACTTTTACGCTTTCCTTTGAGGAGCTGAGCTGAAATTAAACTGCAAACATGTGACACATGTCTGAGGGGCACCAATATACAATGAGTTGCAATTAGGAATGTGCCCGAATAGTGAATCCGAATTCGGAAAGGCACAGAAAACCAATAACGTGTTCTACGGAACCTCTAAAGGGAATAAATGCGAGATGGGAGGAAAAAATATATTTCAATGCTTTTTCTCACAAGTATATCATTGGGTAATTATACTGTATATAAATTGCGGGCATCAGGAAGCCGCTATTAATATGCAGGGCATTTAAATCGCTTTTGAATGCGTGCTCACTTTTTACTTTAACTTTCAAGATTCACAATCACACGTTCTCCGTGTATACTATGAAGCGCCAATACCTACCACACATTTCACAAGATTAGATTTTGTCAGTGGTGCTCAGGATCTGCAAATCATTCGCCATTGTCCAATCAGTCATCTCTCCTTACTCTGTTTATCTGGTAATTTAAATTTTATGTACTGTAATGTAACAGGCTACCACTAGCAAGTGGCTAACCGTGTCCCTTTAGTGGCTCCGTAGAACACGTTATTCATTTTCTGTGCCTTTCCGAATTCGGATTTACTATTTGGACACATCCGTAGTTGCAATAGTCTAATCGGGATGTTACAAATGCATGCATGGCAGTTTCAAAGTTCTTAGCAGACAAAAAGGGCTTAAACTTTGATAAAAGACGAAGATGATAGAAACAAGACTTAACCACAGCACATATCTGCTTATTGAATTTAAGACTGTTATCAAGCAGAACCCCCAGGTTCCGAACACAGGTGTTACTGTAAGGTAACGAGTATCGAGATCAAAGTCATGAATGCTGCGATCATTTGAACTAAACAGTATAATTACAGTCTTACTCTCATTAAGACTTAAGAAGTTACTAGCGAGCCAGAGTTTTAGTTCGTCCAAGCAGTCTAATATAGGCAAGCTTATCTTCATGCTTTATAGGCAGATACATTTGTGTACAAATACACCATATCTAGATAAAACAGAACCCAAAGGGAGCATATAGAGATTAAACAGTACCGGGCCAAGAATATAGCCCTGAGGAACACAAGAACTTAAATGTATATCAGAGGAGGAATTGTGCCCAAGGCAGACAGAATAACTCCTATTAGTTAAATATGAGTGGAACCATTGTAGCACCGTACCTCGAAGGCCCACACATGCTTCTAGACATGATAAGAGAATATTGTGATTGACCAAGTCAAATGCAGAGCTAAGGTCTAGCAAAACTAATGCCATAGCATTACATCATTCATGACTCTTAAAAGGGCCGATTCGGTGCTGTGACAGGCTTTAAAACCAGACAGAATTTTTTTTTAATGTATATAGTTATCATTCAAAATAGACAGAAGTTGGCTTAGGACCACTTTTCTAAAATTTTAAAAAGAAAAGGTAAATTTGAGATTGGGCTAAATTACTCAACAGCGTAGGATCCAAATTTGTTTTTGTTTTGTTTTTAGATCAGGCAAAACCGATGGCATGTTTAAGGCAGTCGGGAACGGTACCAGTGTAAAGACATTTGTTGATGACAGACAACAAATCTGGGCCGATAGCTTGAAAAACCTGCTTAAGAAAATGTGTGGGAATCACATCCTGAAGGGCAGCTAGCAGGTTTTAAACTTGCAACAATCTCATTAAGGGAGTTCAAGGTGATGGCTCAAAGACAGACCAAGTAGGAGCAGAAGTGGACATCAAGTGGCTTATAGGCTGACAAAGGCATTAGAGATTTAATTAGTAAGATCTCGCAAAATCCTCACAAAGAGAGTCAGATGCCTCAGGAAAATTATTAATAGTGGGATTGAGAACATATTCAATTATTGAAAATAAGGCATTAGGCCTGATGCTTTTACATAATATCAACTCTGAAAGATATTTACGCTTGGCAGCATTAGCAGCTTGCTGAAATGCAGAGAGAGAGAGTCCTTTAAGATTTCATAGGAAACTTGTAATCTATCCTTATTCCACTTTTAGGCACTAAAATGTGACATGTTTTAGTGCCGTGTCACGTTGATTTCTTGTCACATTTTTATTGGCTGGTCAGTAAACGTGGGTCATACATAGCAGAAAACACAATGTGCGATGATCATGCTGAATTTCTGACACTCAGAAAATGATCACAGGCTATCTTTGGTCGCAAGACCGTTACAACGGCCATCTTTGGACCTCTATCACTGTACGACATACAACAATCGCCACGATTGTTTCACGATGCAAATCTTTCGTCTGGGACAGCCGAAAATCGTGCAGTGTGTCTCAGGTTTAAGGCAAAAGAAAAAGTGCTGAAATGAGAATGTGGTGCTGCTAACAAGAAAGCTGTGTTGCAAACTAAGAAGTGAAGAAACAGAAAAGAAGGAGCATACTAAAACAAGTGAAGTTTTGGGGTGTTCTAAAAAGGCAACACCTACAATGATGACAAGTTTATGCCTCCCTTAAGCAAACCCACTTCAGGCCCTCATCTCATGTTCCAGATGTTAAGTATGTTTTGTATTAACTTCAGAACCTTCCCTTTCAAAGCACCATCATCTGTGTACTCCAGATCTTCATGGACCTTCTCTGGGCTTCAGGACTTCAGAATTCCTCAGTACTTTGTGTTCAAGGCTGTTGAAAAAGAATCGTTTGGAAGACGTACATGCGAAGCTAAATATCACTATAATTATCATTCTATTTCATCAGCCTGGTGGCGTAGCATGGAAATTTCTGGCCTGGGTCACTAGGGTTCTGTGACTGAATCTTACCTAGTATGATCCTAAATTGCTTGTTGAAGAAAAATTATAAAAGAAGCTGTCTTCATATTCAAACCATCTTGCATTTAATATGATTTTGTGTGCTTGATGGACAGTTGTTAGCTTGATCCTGTATTCCCTCTGAACACATTTTGTTGTGCAATGAGCTTGCAACTATATTTTTATAATGGATTTCTACAGCCTTAAACAGTATTCATTATCGTTAAGATGGCAAAATGTGTTGTAAATATTATCTTTTGCTTTATTATGGCCACAGCAAAAGAGTCAATGGAAATAGCAGCCCTAGGAAGACCCCTGTCACTTGGCATGCTTTACGACTGCCGCAAAGATTCCTTAATTCCAGGTGGTGTATCTACAAAAAAAACTAATTTAAAGAACATTTTTTTTTCAGGTGTTACTCTCTGGGATAAGAAATCATTGAGTGAAAATTTGGACATTCATCATCAGACCGAGACAGATCTGAAGTTTAGTAGCTCTGATTCACTTTCTAGTAAGTCCAGTCTCCTGGATGTAAGAGCTTCCCTGAAGGCCAGTTTCTTGGGGGGGCTTGTGAATGTGGGAGGATCTGGCAAGTTCCTGCATGACACCAAAACCTCAAACCAACAGTCCAGAGTTACAATGTTTCACAGTGAAACCACAAGATATGAACAGCTCACTATGTCCCAGCTGGGCCATTTCACCTACCCTGAGGTGTTTGAGCAGAAAAATGCAACTCATGTGGTCACGGTGGTACTGTACGGAGCTCAAGCATTCATGGTGTTTGATCGGACATTTTCAGAAGAGGAAAACAAGCAGGAGATTGAGAGAGAACTGAATGTCATGGTCAAGAGCATCCCTACATTTTCCATTAAGGGAAAAGGATCTGTAAATATGAAAGAAGATGAAAAGAATAAGGCAGAGAAAATCGCCTGCACATTTCATGGGGACGTCTTACTTGAGCAGAACCCCACCACATACATAGAGGCCCTACAGACATACAAGCAGCTCCCCGCTCTGCTGAAGAATCCACAGAATGAAGTTCCAATAAAAGTCTGGCTTTATCCGCTTCATCTGTTGGACAGTAAGGCAGCTCAGCTGGAGAGAGAAATCACCACAAGTCTGATTTCCGACACTGAACATATAACCGAGGAGCTGGGAGAGGCAGAGAGGACATGCAATGACCTGTTTAAAAATACACTGGTCAGTGCTTTCAGTGACATCAAAGAGAGGCTGCAATTATTTCAGAGCTTATTTAGCAAATACAATACAATGCTCATGGAAGCAGTTGGCAGGGTCTTGCCTGCTATTCGAGGAGGAGAGATGGAGGACAAATCTCTGGAAGACATCCTGAATATCCACAGGAGCTCTCCGTTTAATGCTGACAAGCTGAAACACTGGTTAAATGATGCAAAGTCTAAACTTCACATCTTGAGTTCTGTCACCAAGTCACTGGAAGGGATCAGAATTGAAGACTCAGTCAATATCATGACCCTCTTCTTTAATCCTAATATCGATGCAGTGGTGTGCTTGACCTTGACATCTCTGAAGTATGAAGACACATATCTTTCAACCCTGAAGAAGTTCCTGCAATCTGACATGGTTAAAGATAGGGATATCACTTTTTTTTCTGTGGAGCCTCTCATAAAGTGGTTCAGTGATCCCAGTATCATAATAAAAATGATAGAGAACTTGTCTCAATTCAGGAGGATTGCAGAGGCCAATAAAGATGAAACAAGAATCCGCTTCATTATTTCTGCCATCTCCAATCCCAACATTGCAGGCTCCTCCATCTATCTGTATGAAAAAGGTAAACTGACAGAAACACAGTTCGAGCCCACGTCCAAGCCACCCCCACCAATAGTGAGGAATGTCCAGGCCCAAGCTGTGTCCCTTAAACTGCAGAAGTCTTCATCTAGAGAGAGAGTGCATTACAGAGTGGAATACAAGCAGGTGAAACCACATTCTGGAGCTGAGGAACCATGGTCTTCTAAAGACACATATGATGAAGACTTTACTCTGACTGGATTGGAGCATGGAAAGCATTACCTGATCCGCTACAGGATTGTTGGTAAAGTGGGAGTGAGTGAAGCCAGTGATACTGTTAGTGCTACAGTTAGTGCTAACCCTTTCGGTAAGTGTCCAGGTCCAGACAGGCGTCAAATTTTGTTTGGAATAAACCCCACACTGAAAAAAAAGAAGAAAAAAACACGTAAAAAATGGTAAAATGCAAGGCAGCACAGTGTGCCAAACATTTAAAATGAAAGGAAATAATGAAGACCTTCAGCTAAATTAGCATGTTTAGTGTTAAAAAAAGAGACGAGAGGAGCAGAAACACAAGAACTACAACTGACTTCAGCCACAGCCTTAGATGAAATCAACTGAAAAGCTTTTAATCTCTCAAGATCTCAGCAGAGGAGGATTAAACTCCACAAACAGCATTACCAGCTTCAGTTATTACTAACCAGGGGTGCGTTTCCAAAAAGCATCATTAGCTAACTATGTTCGTAAGTTCCATTGAATTCTATTGGTAATGACGGAACTTGCGACCATATTTGCTTTTGGGAAACACACCCCAGATGGACTTTATTTCTGTCATGTCTATAGAAGCTCACATTAAGAATTAACAGAGGTTTAGATGTTGATGTTTTATTGAGAATAATAGTTTGGTTTGGTGTCACCCTTATGGTGATCAGTCTTTAGTTGGGCTTTTGATCCTTGACTTTTTAACTTTTTTTTTTCCTCTGGTTGCTGTAACTGAGTGTTTATAAAGCAAATTTGTTATGGAAAAAAGCCAAAAGAAAACATGGCCAGGTGTTGCAGAAAAAAATTCAAACTATTTTGTTGTTTAAAAACACAGACATCAATAATCAGCATATGAATCTCAACAATGGCGACAATCAACATAAAGCCTAATGTTTCAGTCCATGCTGGGTACCACCAATCAAAACTCACCCATGTCTCCCAGCATGCATTGCGGTGTGAATAAATTATGCAGCTGAATTACCTTAGTATTTTTTTTAATTCTTACTATTTGCTTTTATTTTTGCTGTTTTTGTTGTAACTTTTTAGTATCTTGTTTTGTGATTTTCAGAGTTGATCTGTTATTAATTGTCACCATTGTTGAGATTCGTATGTTTATTATTGATGTCTGCAGGATATCTTTTAAAAATCTCTGATTATAATAACACTGTTGGATCGCATGCTGTAGAAACGCAGGGCTGCTATAAATAAAGTAGCACATCACCTATATAATCAAATATTAAACTCATAAGATAATTAATCAGACCACATCATGATGATTGTCATCATCAATCCATAACTTTCTTCACCTGATCACATTTTCTCTTGACTTTTCTGGCCATAACAAATGTGTTTCATATAAACACTGTAACAGCAGCCAGAGAAAAAAACAACAAAAAAAAAAACGAATGTAAAAAGTCAAGGGTTAAGAGCCCAACTAAAGGAACAATATTTGCCGTAATGGCAACTTCAAACAAAACATTTTCAATAAAACAACATAACCTCTGAACTTCTGTTAATTCTCAATAAGATCTTAAGTAGATGTCTGACAGAAATAAAGTCAATCTGGTTAGTAATGAGTGAAGCTGGTGGTGCTGTTTGTGGAGTTGTTTAATCAGATCTTCAGCGATTTAATATCTTTTATCTTCAGTTGATTTAATCTAAGACTTTGGCTGAAGTCAGTTGTAGTTCTTG